GTCTTCCCACCGTTTGTTCGCTCACCTTCCCCTGAACCATTTGAAGCCAGAGTTGAAGAGGAATCCTCCGAGGAGGATAAAGTTCAAGACATCCGGGGGCCTATTTTTCTATCTTTTATTCATTTGCTTTTTTTATTTTAACTTTAAACAATGTATATTTTTCTATGCTTTTTATTTCTGTACCTCGTGCTTTTAATTACCTAGTAGTAGTATTGAATCCTTATGTCTATTTATCTATGTTATTTTGTTCCCCGTAACCTTCAACTTTCTCTTTTGCTTATGGGCTTTATCGTTCTATACCAACTACGAAGACCAAGACCTACACTTGTGCACCTACACCAACCCAGCAAAACACCCTATGGTAACGATTCATGAACCTACCTTTATTCTCCCACATTGAGAAAAATGTGTCTCTTAAGTGTGGGGGAAATTGTATGTATGTTTGAATGATTCATGATGATTTTGACATAGTTGGTAGTAGCCTCCCTATAATTATAATGTAAGACGTTGATGATTGTTAGGGGTGTGCAACGGGAAACGGGTATTTGGATATACCCGTACCCGTCCCTTTTTTGAGGATTACGGGTACCCAAATACCCGTATTTTTTTACACGGGATGGGACTTGGGATCAAGAATCGCCACTTTGGGTACCCGCGGGTAACACGTTAATACCCATTTGGGTATTACGGGTACCCATTATACCCATTAGTCCAATATTGTTGTAAGATTGTTGCAAGTGATTCTGTTGCAATTACTATAGGTTGATGGCGGCTTGACCAAGCGGCAACAGTGCACCTTCATCATCAAATTAATTATTGATTTTGCTGAACTGATTCCCATGTTTACTTCTTTTCCCCTTGCCTTGGTAATGTACTTATGTTGCAGGTTCGTGATGGGCGTACTCCTGATCGATCATAACGGAGTTGGAGACATTGATAATGGCAATGTTCTCGAAGAGAATCCCTGAGCCACTCCTCGCCGACGACCCTTGCCATGTCTTCCCTACTTGCTCTGGCATCACTTTCAGAAGCTTCAACGAAGATATCTTTTCAAGACATAAAAAGAACTATTAGTAATTATGGGTTAATTAATTAAGGCGCCTGATGTGAAGTTAAAAATCGCGGACCGGCAGAGGAATCGCTCGTGGGAGCAGAGCCCGGAAACTTCCACCAGCCCAGCTTCTTCCAGGCTCAAGAAGCTCCGCCGCAGCTTCTCCTTCGTTCCTCCTCCGCCGCATTTTGTCACTGTCGGCCACCTTCGCCTGAATGTTTGGAGATTACAACTACCCGAAACTGACAAAAATGGCGGATGGCGGCGGAGATAACTGACAAAGAAGGTGTTGCTGTGGTTTCTTCCACCAATTGAACGGGTATTTACGGGTAATATGGGTACCCGTTATCCGTCCCGTACGGGTAACGGGTACTCGTTACCCATACGGGTTTGGGATATGGGATGAAAATTGCTCTCTAAGTGGGATTGGGTACCCGTTTTAAACGGGACGGGTATCCCGTCCCGTCCCGCTGCCCACCCATAATGATTGTGTGTGGGAGTGTTAGCTATCGATTAGTTGTGTTTTGTGGTGTTGAATGACTTAAAATTTATGTTTGGAACCTTGATCATATACCCAAAAAAAAGCAAATTTAAGGGTTCCAAACATGTTGTCCCTAGCATCTACCTCCATAATGTGCTTTGAATTGCTAGATAGTTGATATGGTGTGTTTATAGGGAGTAGTTTGCATTTACAAAAGTTTTTGGTGTATAAGGGGTTATACTCCTATCTTCCTCTTTGGTGAAATGATAATGTTTGCTACTTAGGTAAAGACATGTGTGCGAGACTTTCTACCTATTTTGTACTAAAAATCGTTTTCAAAATGTGCTTAACTTTTTTAAAAAAATCTTTTGAAAAATGAGGCGCTCATGTGAGAGGCAAGCGAGCATAGTGTTTGAGTTGAGCCGTCGAATGGCCCTTCTCTCGGTTCGGAGTGCCATTTGAGGATGTGTTTGGGGTTCAAATAAATTTAACGCGTCTCAATGATCTTTTACAACCTTCCATCCCAAAAACCTCTCCTCATCACGAACTCGTATGGAGAGGAGATAGTGTGCCTTTAAGCGAGTCACGAGACCTCGGCTCTCTTTTATACCCGACATGTTTGGCAACCCGTCTGTCGTTGAGCTGAGGAGTGCATGCTGGGAAGTGGTGCTCGGGCAATGAATCTGACCATCATGTCCCCCACATGGGGCCTTGATAGGGAAGCAATGTTCATTTCACTCTTGGTCACAAGGGACAGATGGCTATTTGCAAAATTGAAAATGTTTGGTGCCAAGTGCGACGATGTTTAAAAAAGGAGACTCGAAACCATAATTCTACCTAAAAAAATAATAAAGAAGCCTTCAAAGAGTCCATTTCTCTTATTGTTTTTTAGAGTCCCTCGGTGCACACCTTGAATGTCTTGACCTATTTAGTTGACAGGGTCCTCATCCAAGAGTTTGTGTTTTCAAAGTGAGATGAGAGTAATGTTCACTTGATCCCGATTATTATAACTAGTGCAACGAAGAACTATAGTGCATATCATGTTGATTGTTATCAAGTTGTACTTGGTTGAGTAGGTTTGCTTGGGGACAAGCAAACACCTAAATATGGGGGAGTTGATAACACCCAAAATGATTTTATTTAGGGCCCATATTTAGGTTTGTTTTGAGTCATTTCATGGTCTTCACGGTAAATATATTATCAAATATACCCTTATATCGTTACTCGGTGAAATTTTAGCATTTTAGGATGTATTAGATTATATGAATGTTTTAGGTACCAATAGAGGGCACAAGAGCAGAAATGTGAAAAAATAGAAGATCATGGCCAGGGCATGATTGGTCACGACCTGGAACTAAGGACGCGAAGCTGAAGCATCGAGATCACAACCTTTAGTGTCAATATCACGGCCGCGAAGTTGGAGGCCTTAGACACAAACTTTTGGTGAAGCCAACAAGGAAGGAGCAGAGAGTCTTAATAGTAGACTCACAACCCTCTTCATCCGAGCCCGCGAAGAAGATCGCGGTCACAGCTCAATGATCGTAACTGTGAAGTCGGGCCGCAAACTTCCCAACCAACAAAGTGCAAAATGATGAAGCTCAAGATTGCAATCTCCACTTCCCAGATCGCGCCCGTGATCTTTCCCAGTTCAATTGTGAACTTGGTCGAGACCTTGAAATCTATAAATAGGGGTGCCTCCCCCTTCATTTGGGAGCGGAAACCAATTGAGAATTTTTGGTTTGTGAGAGAGAAGTTGAAGGAAGGATAAGAAGAGAAGGGGGAGAAGAAGGAGGAGTCAAGGAGGAAGGGACTCAAGGGAGCTCTCCCCAATCCAAGTCTTCTTCTATTTCTCTACATGTATCTTCTTTCCTCCTTTATGGAGTAGTCCTCTAAGGTACTAGGAGCTAAAACCCCCCAAACCCTAAAACCAGGTTTTAATGTATATGTGATTGTGTTAGATTTTGTGTATGGATTCGTTTATTTCAGTGATTTTATGCTTCATTTATGCTTGATTATGTTGGGGCTTGTCTTTCAAACTCTTCTCTTCTAGCCTACAACCAAGTCTTCAAGCTAAGTGGGAGCTTAAGAGCTAGACTGGATTTGAGCGCTTTATGGCTAATTAGGGGTAGATGAACGATCTTAGTGTTCCTTTAGTGGACGCGGCAACTGAACTCCTGCTAGTACGTGAACTTTGACTAAGGTGACATTGGTCATTGGATCTTTGGGATCGTACAAGAAGGAGGGAAGTAATCATTGAAACCCTTAGTTGAGCGAGTTCCGTACCTTATCATGCAAACCAACATAGTTAACCATTTGCATGATGAACCTAAGTTTAGAGCGAGGGAGTTACCCCGAAGTACCTGCTTTGTATCCTTGCTTACTCCGCTAGTATTTACAATTGACCTCCGAGAACCAAACTAAACCAATTGGCTAGATAACAACAGCTTGAGAAGTAGCCTAGGAAATCAAAACCCGTGGAATACGATCTTGGTTGTCACTATGCTATAAACGCAATTTCGGGTTATACTTGGCTCAAAATGGGGTAGTTAGTCAGGCCATGCAGACAATTGACATAACCCCACAGGGTTTGACCAGATTGGATGACCAACAATGTTTGGGTTCTTCATTATAGATTTTGTAATGATTGTCCAGAAGTTTGGAAAAAATTATTTGGTCGAAAACTATATTTGTATCGCAAAGGTTAACGACTCTTGAAAAGTTTATTTCGTTTCTCTAATAACATCAACCTTCATTTAAAACAAAAGTGTTCTTCAGTTCTAATTAACATATACACTTTTAGGTAAACTGTCGTGAAGTGCAGGTCAATTATCTAGTTATGTATAAAACATCTTAAAATGGTGAAACGCTCAACCCGACCGATACACCTCAAAGCATTGCTTTATAGGCACAACAGTTTAAACCAGTTTGATAACCTTGCTATAGAGTATAAACGACTAAATTACACATTAGGTCACTCAAATTACATAAATCTTTCACGTTTGCCTCCCGAATTACTTTTCTTTCATATTTGCCACTAACTTTAAAATTCGTTTCACCGTTAGTCACCGGTCGTCAGTCTCGGTTTAGCCCGGAAATATGGAAAGTGTCATTATATTGTACTTATCCTGATAAATTATATCAAATCTCATCTAACATATGAGTTATAACATATAATATTACACCAAAATAACATTTCGTACTTAGATTCAACATATAGTGAAAATTCACACACACTTATATAACATTAATATTCAAATGTTCAACTTAGGATTCCAAAGATTGAGTTAGCCAAAAAGGAAAATCGGAAAATAGGTGCATTTCGCAAAACAAAGAAACAAATGACACAATTTGACCTCCAACCCGGTACCTTATAGCGGTCAACCCGACGAGTGCGTGCGGCCCATTTTTCTCACCGGGTCAGGGTCAAAGTGGGTCAACCCGCGGGTCGACCCGCGGGTTGACAACCTTGGGAGAAGACGACCCATCGTTTTAGTCCCACAGTCGCAGCTCCCTTTAATCCTTTCCCTTTTCCTTCACTATTCCAATGTAATCCCAAAACCCCACAGATAAAATCTCTCCCCCACACTCGCATCTACACTGACCTCGCTCACTCACTGCTCACTCTTCCCACTCTCCCTCTCCCCCAATCTCTCTGTTTCTCCCATTGACACAACAAGAAAAGCTGCAACCAAAATGGCTCGTCTTCAACCTGTAAACAGCTCACCCCTTCTCTTCTCCCTCAAATAATGCCCCAAGATCCACAACCTCCTCTTCTTCTCTTCCTCGCAAGAAGAAGAAGATGGCCAGCCCATCCCCAGACTCACTCTACCTCTACTGCCTCGAGGACCACGACTTGACACCAGAACTAGAAGAGGAAGAAGAACAGCCAGAGACTTGCTCTGCTTTCTGCTGCAACAATGATAATTATGAAAATAACGATAACGAAATACCCATTGTCTGCTTCCCGGAGCAAGAGTCTCTGTTGTTGTCATGGGAAGACGACGAGCTTTCTGCTCTGTTTGCAAAAGAAGAGGAGAACCCATTGTACAGAGAGCTCGAATCTAGTCCCAATCTGGCAAGGGCGCGCCAGGAGGCCGTGGATTGGATTCTTACCGTCAATTCCCACTACTTATTCGCGAGCCTCACCGCTGTTTTGGCTCTCAATTACCTCGATCGATTCCTTCTCACTTTCCACCTTCAGGCCGACAAGCCATGGATGACCCAGCTCGCCGCCGTCGCCTGTCTCTCTGTCGCCGCCAAAGTGGAGGAGACTCGCGTCCCTCTTCTGCTTGACCTACAGGTATGAATTTTAACGTCGATTTCGCCTACCCATTTGCCATTTCACAGTTATCTCGCTCTTAATCGGGGTTGCATTTGTGGGGTTTTCAGGTTGGGGAGAGTAGGTATGTTTTTGAGCCGAAGACGATACAGAGGATGGAGATTCTGGTGCTCTCTGCTCTCAAATGGCGGATGAACCCTGTTACTCCAATGTCGTTCCTCGATTACATGGCGAGGCGGTTGGGACTTAAGGACTATCTCTGCTTGCAGTTCGTCAGTCGATGCGAGCGGTTAATCGTCTCAGTAATCTCAGGCAAGGAAAAATCGAATCGAGAGTTTTTAGTCCCACAGTGAACTCGTATGAAAACTCTGCTTCTTTGTTTGACCTTTTGTTCTTTTTTTCTTCTTCCAGATTCCAGGTCATTGTGTTATGCACCATCTGTAGTGGCCGCTACTGCAATGCTTCATGTCATCAATGGCGTGGAGCCATCTCTTGGGGCTGAATACCAACACCAATTGCTAGACATTCTGGGAATCGGCGAGGTATTTTTAATTTTAGCCATAACAAAAAATCTAGTCTTTTACAATGATTTAGATCTCAGAATCTAAAGTGGATTTTGTGAATCCTTGTGATTACAGGAGAAGCTAGAGGGTTGCTGTCAACTGGTTATGGAATTGGTATCATGCGGAACCCAAAATGGAAGTCAATGGAGGAAGCGAAGGAAGTTGGATTCGATTCCAGGGAGCCCAAATGGGGTGATGGATTTGAGCTTCAGCTCCGATTGCTCAGACGACTCTGCATCTTCTTCTGTGTCTTCTTCTCCAGAGCCCCATCGGGCGAAAAAGAGCAGAGTTGCAGAGCAGGCTTCCATCATCATTCCTCCCTAGACTTAAAAAGGGACACAATCTGATTCCTTCTTGCACTCCTTCCTAGCTCTATAGCTGAATAAGGATTCCCAGATGTTGGGTTTAAGTTATGATGTTCTTCCTCGAGTTTAAATTGCCCTACTATCTCTGCTTTGCTACTGGGACAGGAAATGTTGTTGGAATATTTAGGAAGAAGCAATGGCAAAGCAGAGATGGTTGGCATTTTATCCGACCGGGACGGGGAAGAAAATGGAAATCCAAGTGCATTGAACAAACAAGTGATGAGGACTGAGGAGTTCTTCGTAGTAGAAGTAGAAGCAATCTATATTATAATTCGTAATAATAATATTATTATCAGCAAATACAAAAAAAAAAGGTAAAAGAAATGTTACTTTTTATATGTACCTACCTGTTACCACATAATGTTCAATAAATAAAAAGGTGAAAAGTTTACTTCAGCTAGCTGTTGCACTTACATGATTGTCTAAAGCATATTAATTCTGTCCAAAACGAAACTAGGAATAGGCAAAATGATCAATGGAGGATGGCGGGAAACAAGAGTGGTCACTTTTCATTGATTTGGCACGTCTGACGTCATATAATTTTGAACAAGTATCATAATCTAATCATAAGTAACCTAACACCAACAATAGTGGTGGAGCCATGTGGAGTACTTCATAGTTCATCCATTGTGAAAATAGATTAATTGACCAGGCTTTAGACCTATTTCTAAGTGATCATTGTTCGAATCCCATAAACGTAGATCTTTTAGTCCTCCTCATCCATATTCTGGCAATGCCAATGACTATCAGACTATGTAGCAAAAAGTTGGCGAAACTTGCTAGGGTTAGTGGAAGAAAAAAAAGAAAATTCTAATTAAGTTTTGAGAAATTCGCTAATGACGCAATTCTTCTAGCACCGACGATGCTTCAAGCCACTTCTTCATTTCATTGTTTCCTTGGTTAACTTCATTTAGGTTGCAGCAAATCCATGACAAAATTATCTTCATCAACTGTCATGCTTGGTTATTGTTGGAAAAAAAAACTGTCATGCTTGGTCTCTCCATCAACTTGCTTAGATACTACCCCAACAAACATGTTGGTGAGTACATGTCTCTTACTCCCAATTCATTAAGCAAATAGTTCAACTTGTAAAAGGTCGCACCCTTGGCAAACTAATTAGCTAATTTTGACATGCATTAGTGTGATTAACATGCATTAGTGTGATCATTCTTTGTTCCAATTTTTACTTTGTAACATGACAATCAGTATCAATATGCTTTGTTCTTTCACAAAAGACAAAATTCTTTGCAATATGCATGACTGATCTGTTGTCACAAGATACCTAAATTGGAAGAGGTACTTCAACTCCCACTCCTTCAACCAACCCCTCTTAGCTATTGCAATTCACATACTATTTGTGCTAGTGCCATGTATTATACTTCATATGATTATTTGGACACGGTTGTTTTATTTTTTTAGCCCTCCAGGTTATCAATAACTGATAGCAATATACTATAATCAGTAGTATTTATACATGTCCGATTTGAATATGAGTATCTGGATAATTCAAGCTTTGTGTTAGTCTTGGAAACTAGTTCCTGGTCTGGTGCATAGATACCTCATAACTCCGAAAGCAACTTGTAGACGCTCTGTAAGAATCATACTGAAATTGACTCAATTGTTGAGTTGTATAGGTAAACTTGGCTTCTGTAAGAATCATACTGAAATTGACTCAATTGTTGAGTTGTATAGGTAAACTTGGCTTTGTGATAGTTTGGTAGTGCAACCTTCCTATCAACCTTGTGTACAATTTAGGGGAAACTAGTCCCTGGTCTGGTGCATAGATACCTCATAACTCTGAAAGCAGCTTGTAGACGCTCTGTAAGACTCATACTGAAATTGACTCAATTGTTGAGTTGGATAGGAAAACTTGGCTTTGTGATAGTTTGGTAGTGCAACCTTCCTATCAACTTTGTGTACAATTTAGGGGGTACTCAGTGGCTCCCATTGTTTAGCTACAACTACAAGCTTCGATTTACAGTCCACTAGTGCAAGATAGTCTTTGGCTTACATATAACTAGTGTCTACTAAGAGCTCCATGCAATAATTTATAGTCAACACTCAACTAATGCAATATAGTCTATAACCTCTCGTGAACTACTCGTAACTCCACCACTACTTTGGAGCTAGTTAACTCCTCCCAGAAAGCAATTCTTATAGCAATGATAATTTGAAACTCATCCATCGTCGGATCATCTTCATCAACTCTCATATGCTTGGTCTCTCCATTAGCTAGCTTGCTCTGATAGGTAGAGTCATGACATCATGGTTCTGGTGATATAGTCAATATTCGAGATGAGTGAGATTTTGTACATGAAGAAATCTCAATAAGATAATGTTACATCAAGTTATTACATCAAAGTATTTATGGGATGGTTGATATTTTTTCTATGTAGTAATTTATCATGTCTTTTTTTAACAATCACATTTATCCTTTATAAATTGTAAACTTTAATGCTTGTATAATTACTCAAATCAATGACAATAGCTATCCATAATGTTTCACGGAGGTAAGAAATAAGGGCGGTTAAAGTTTGATTTTGCATGTGGAGAGATGAAAACCTTGTCGGCCACTCTCTTAATTAACGACGGATTATGAGTAAGTAATTCTTTTTTCTGCAGCGAGGTAGAATGTAGATCCCTGATCCACAGTCTACATATATTACCACATAATTAATAATTATATCACTTGATGTTTGACCTCGTTGGGCTCTGAAACCGGACACATATTTTATGGTTTGTCACAACTCACAACACAAGAGGTGTTAAGATTAGAAAAAGACCAATGGTTTTCCGATGTGTATAGTGGTTCAGTCCACATCTGACCATAAAACCGATCTAATGCGATATTTAAACTGAATTATATTATATCGAAAATAATGTGATATGAACTTAATTTTGTAATTTGTTTATACTTTATAGCAAAGAAGAAAATAACGTAGTTAATAAGATGAAATATACTTTTAATCCATTTGTAACCGATTTCTCCTTATTTTTCATCAAGAATTGAAACGATACACGATTTTTTGCTAATTGAGGGGCGTTTCAATTCACCCACGTCTTGTATTTTTAAAATGTGTTGGGGTTTTTGGCCCTTCTCCTAGGGTTTGTGACTTAGCACTTTCTTCCAGAAGTCGTCTTCTCTGCTGCCTACATACTCTTGCTGGCACGCAACTTAATCAACCTGTCTCTGCACTCTGCAGTTTCTTTACTTTGGGTGCCTTGTTTTGTGGAGGGCTTTTCCCACAACAACTGGCTTTCCCAATGTGACATTACTGACCAAAATTAATGCAAGCTGCCTACTTAGATGAAGAGTCATATATAAATTGAAAGACGATCTAATCTGGTCAGTACATATATAAATCTATCTGGATGGATACTGATTGTGAAATTAAACAAAGACAAGCTACTAGTAGTCAGGGGTCGGTTCATTTAGAAAAAATAAATATATGATAAAATAGTTTTGGGCGGAGCTAGGATTTAACGTTCGGCCGGGGGGGGGGGGGGGGGGGGGGGGGGGGTCGGTACATTACAAATTATTAGCACTAAAACTATAATTTGAATTAACAATTGGGCAACGATATGTTAAACATTATTAATTAAATTGTCCACAAAAAATAATCATTATTTTTTTATTTGTACCATTTTCCTCAATGTTATTATAACAAGACAAAATCCAAAATTACATTTGGAGCTATAATTGAGAAGTTGATGAATTTGATTTACTTAAGACATCGGGAAAAAAAAAAGTGTAAGGCCAAAAGCATTAGAATGTGCTGCTGTGATGTATTGAACCCACGTCCACTGTTTTAAAAAACAGCCACTTTTCCGCTAGAATAAATGGAAACATACTTAAATTTATTGCACAATAGCGGAATCTATACAAACAACGTAATTAATAAGTAATTTCAAAATTATCGTTGTACTTATACGCGATTTTCAAAATTCTCGGGGGGCCGGGGCCCCCCCAAACACCAACGTAGCTCCGCCCCTGGTTTTGTTAGCTTTTTATATAATTCGTGATATAATTTTGTATTTAATAAAATTTGATAAATTTAATATATTTTAAAATTATCAATAATATCACTCTATATGTATCAAACAATTATTCATGACTTAGTAAGATATTTGCTTTTAAATGGTGTTCCATGTCAATAACATTTACTATCAATAACTGGAGTTGTTGGAAAATATTTAATAATAAATCTTATATTATGTAGTATTTGCTAACACTTCCCACTATCTAAAACCAACTTAACATGCTTAAATTTTTTACAAGTATGAATATTATGTGCTTAACAAATGAGATCACCAACACATGATCTCTCAGTCTCCCATTCTCAATTACAAGTGTCTTAAATTTCATTCTCAATTACCTATTATACTAATTTACTAATTTTCATCCTTAAGAGTTACCCTTTACATACTCTCTCTTGAAATAAAACTATTTTTACAAATTAGCTATGATTTGGTGGAAATTTGTTATAGATATTGAATAAGTACATTTTTAATTTTGGGCGAATCATATGCATCATTGTCATTTGTACACAGCTAAGCTCGTTATAAAAACATTGAATATGCCAATACACAAAATATAAATCATACATGTTTGAAAAATTAGTAAATTATAAATTATAAAAACATTGAGACCCACCCACTAACCCTCTCTCTCTCTGCTAGTAGTACTTGTACATACATAAAATATTTTCGTGACGAGAAAAATGGTATATCGCTTCGATCAAGTGGTCGGCCACTTCCAACAACCGGTCAACGGGATGAACCTCTACTATCGAAATCAACATATTTTTATTAGAGACATCCAATATTAATATATATGCTTACTAGTAAAAGAGTTGAACTTAGTACATAGGTTGAAACAAAGATGAAACTTAGTACAAAGAGTTGAAACTTAGTACAAAGGTTGAAACAAAGATGGAAGTTTCATGAGTGATTGTTTTACTGTAAATTTGAAAAATGGTTTACACATTAATTTTCTTAGATTTGAGTTACTCTATAGATACTCTTCATATGTCCTTCAAATTATAAGTTTGCTTACTTTTTATTTTATAATTCTCTTGTGGTGGAGGAGATTTGTTGTTATTGTTGTTATGAAGATACTTACAAATATGTATAATTGTCACATAATTGTATCATTTTCAGCGTCCATAAATATCCTATCATTTTGCCTTTGCGGGTTATTATTCCAGAACTGTTTAAAGATGGTGTTATTTTTATTGTCTAGGCTTAGAATCTTCTCAGAGAGTTGGTCCACAAGTGAAAGGGTAATGCATTCTACAAACAATTTGTAT